ATATATATATACACACAGAGAGAGCGGGTTCGACTCCTTGGCCGCCAGACCCCCTCGCATCGTGACAACAACAGGGTGGGAAGTTTTGATCAGCAGGTTTCAGCCTCTCGGCCCCATGTGCCAGGCCTCCAGCGCCGTCGAGCAACAATTCGGGACGGGAGACAGGACGACGGCCATGTTTTTCTTGAGAAGCAATTTTGGCCCATGCCATTTGAGTTCAAACATTCTCTTCCAGGGCCGTCGACAGCGCTGGTGCCGAGATTCTGTCGGGCCCCTTTCCGGTTCGTCGTGGGCCTGCTCCCTTCCTTGTTTTGCGGTGCTTCCACAGATCGCTCCCGATACTGGCAGCCTCACGTGCGACGTGTGGGCCTTAGCCTGCGTCTCCAGCAAGATCCACGAGGGTGACCCTTGCCGATGGTGCGGTGCATGCGGCCGCCGCTCTTCAGAACAGGAAAAAAACACATAAGCACAAAGGGTTTTATTGGTTTTACGCCGGAAGGGGGCGTCGTTGAGAGGGTGCCTGGCACGGATGCGGGGATCGGGGTGGCGTCGGTGTTTGGAGCTGGCGGTTTGCGTGGCAAGTGCGTTTAGCTGGTCGCATGTGTTCGGGACGCGTGACGGGTGGAAAGGCCGCTTACCAGCAATTGGCAGTCCTCTTCCCGCGGGCCAGAACAAATCGTCGCGCGCTCGCTACGGGGTGTTGGAAAGGGGTTTGGGAGGAGAGCGCGAGTCTCATTCCCAAGAAGTCCTTTCGATAGGCAACAAACAATTATTTTTCCATTCATCTGCCGCACGGCCAACCGAACGAACGAAAAACTGTTTCGGCGCGCAGTGTTAGCTTTGTTTGCGTGCATCCTGGCTTCCCTCCGTTGCTTCCTTCGTTTTTTTCTCGCCCTCCTCTTCTTTTTCTTCTTCCCCTGCTTTGCCTTGTCCCGGCCCCCCTTCCTTTTCAGCTCGGAGCTGTCACCGCGCGCGAAGAGCGCAACCCAAAGGGCGCTGCTGTAATTCATGTGTGTGCCACGAAGTCTCGTGTAATTCCTTTGTGCAGTCTGGTTACACTGCCAACGCGGGGGGCACACAAAGGAATTTCCTTCGTGTACGATCTATCTCGCCGCCCCCACAGGAGCACGCGCGATTCGTTTTGTGTAAAGCTTGCTTTCCCGCCTCAAGGAGCGCGCGGGGCCTGGCGCTACAATCGCAAGGCCGCGGCGCCTGGCAGTACGATGCAGCTGCGCCGGATACCGCGCCCAAAACGATCCTACGTGGACTTCGGCTCTTCTGCCGAAGTCGCGCTGGCAGCTGGCCAGCCACATCGCTGGCCCTGCATGCCCGCGCGCGCTACAGCGTTCTGCTGCTGCGACGCGCGTTGCTGTCAACGGATGAACAAACTGACGTTGCACGGCGGTTTGGCTGTGCCAAACCACCATGGAATGTTTGTTGGTAGCGGATCTTGGGATTTCGTCGCTACAGCCTTGCCACACCGTACATATCAACTGCATCCTAGAGCACGGCCGTGCATCAACCCTGATTCGGATCGCTGGGGATCCAATGGCATGTGTGCGCACGCGTTGCACCGTTGGCGGTGCCAAAACCCTTTGTGTGAAATTCTTTTGTGTGTGTTTTTTTTGGCCTGCGCGGCGCCAGCACGCCTGGCGCGCCTGCCCGCGGCGGCCTGGGGCGTGCCGCCAGGCGCCCTTGCGCCCCCAGCCTGCTCCGGCATCTGGGGCCCGGCGCGCTTCGGCCCGCTTCGGCCAGCCGTTCCGCTGGGTCCAGCGCGCGAGGTCGGCGTGCTCCAGCATCCAGCCGCTGGCCCAGCACGTCGGGGCGCGCGGGGCGGCCGTTTCGCCACAAGCCAGGCGTCTTGCGCCACCTTGCCAGCGCGTCCCAAGCTTGCGACAGCCTCCGGCGCGGACTCCATTTGGCCCGGCGCTGGCATGTGGGCGGTATTCGATAAGTCGGCAATGCTCGCCTTGAGTGGGGACGTTGTCGACGCATATCCAGCAGCAGGCGAACCACTTGCCTGCTGCGGACGTGTCGGCCTGGAGCTCGCCTCGGCGTCCTTCGAGCTGGATGCAGAGCTCAGCTACGACTCAGTGGCGTGCGTCTGCACGTCCGCTCGGCAGCTGCGAGACTGGCACAGAGCTTGGAGCTGGTGGCCGAGCTCGCCGCGGGTTCGAAGCCCGACGCCGACTCGGCAGCGTGCGAGCTAACTATCGGCTCGACTTACGAGTGACCCGTCACCGCAGTGACCTCTGGTGTGGGGGGCCCCCGGGGGCCCCGCCGATCGCGGAACGCGATGCGGCATGCGCGCTTGTGTTTGGCCTCCCCCCCGCGGCCCCCAGAGGGCCGCGCGCCCAAGGTCATTTTGACCCTTGATATCGCTTGGACGTGTGCATTTTTCATTCGGCGAGGACCACCGAGGAACATCCCTGATCACTTGGCGAAAAAGTCACGCACGAAACCTAAAAAAAACACAGGGAATGGACGTCCTAGCAATGCCAGGTTGTGGAAGGCCTCTTGTGGTCAGGCTCCTATTGCACGCCACGCCGCTACGCGCGTGGCGTCGAGGCCGAACAGCATGCGCGTGTGTGCGCGAATGTGTGCGAGTGTGTGTGCGTGTGTGTGTGTTTGTGTACGCGCGCGTGCCTCACACTTCCAGAGGCTCCTCCTCCTCCTCCCCCTCCTCTTCCTCCTCGTCTTCCTCCCCCATCCTCCTCCTGCCCCTCCTCCTCCTCGTCCTCCTCCTCCTCCTCATCATCATCATCCTCATCCCCATCCTCATCCTCATCCTCATCCTCATCCTCCTCCCCCTCTCCTCCCTTCTCCTCCTCCGCCTCCTCCTCCTCCTCGGGCCTCGTTTGGAAGGTGAGCCCCGTCCGCGCGCGGAACCTGTACACGATGCAGGTGCGGGAGCTCCTCCGCGAGCACTGCAAGGGGTGGGTCCGCTGCGCCGAGGACGCGGCCAGTCCGAGCCCTCCCGCGCCGCGCTGCCGCATCGCAGGGGAGCTTTTGGCCGGCGGGGGGGGCCGAGGCGGCCCAGCACTGGTCCTCTACCAGCACGAACGGAATTGGTACGGAAAGAATGGGTACGATGCCCAGCAGCAGTTCCTGTTCTCTTTGAACCGGACTCGCTGCCCACGCCGCCGCGGCCTCTGTCCATTCGAGACAGAAGGCCGCCTGCCCAACAGCGGCCGCTGTTGGTTTGGGACAACAGTTGTTGTTGGGCATTGTACCCACTCTTTCCGTACCCATTTCGGGCGTCCAAATTCTAGGCCTCCCAGATGGGGTCGGAGTAGATGGGGTCGGAGGATCGCGCCGCATCGCCGATGCATCGGCGATGCGGCTCGATGTGGAGCCCCGTCGCCGATGCACCGCCGATGCCGACTGTGCATCGCGGGTGCATCGCCGATGCATCGCCGATGTATCGGCGATAAGCCGCGATCATCCGACCCCATCTACTCCGACCCCATCTAGGAGGCCTCTAGGTTCGGAGCCCCGAGTCATCAGGGCTGGGAGCAGTCAGGGGTATCTTTAAGCTGGCATGCCCCCCTACGGGAAGAGTACTAAAACATAAGAAAAATAATCGGGTGACGATTATTCGTGCTCCTTTGCCAATTTGTTTGTTTGACTTTTTACTTAATCACTTCGCTCACTCCGCCGGCCCATCTTGCATCACCGGCGCTATATGTTTGTGTGTTCGTGGCGAGCGACACGGAGGTGGATGAGGAGCCGGAAAAGGGGGGGATGAGAATGAGGAGGAGGTCTCTGGGTGGCTTTTCTGTGCCAATGTGGGGCGGGGGTCTTCTGGGAGGCTTCTCGAGGGCCTTGCGGCGGTATGTTGGTGATATCCTGGGTGTCTCGTGGGAGCCTCTTTGGGGCCTCCTGGGGCATCTAGGGGACCTCTTGGGGGACACCTGGGGGTCTCTTAGGGCCTCTCGGGGGTCTCTACAGGGCTTCTTGCGGGCCTCTTGGGGCCTCCAGGGGACCTCTGCGTCTAGAGCTCGAACATGTCCGTTCCTGTTCCCCGTCTGGGCCCGCTCTTGAAGCCGTCGTGGGAGCCTCTTCGGCCATCTTGGAGGCCTCTGGGGCTGTCTTGGGGCCCTCTGGGGCCGTTTTGGACGCTCTTGGAGGCCTCTTGGGGCCGTGTTGGGGCGATCCTGGAAGCTTCTTGGGCCGTCTGACAGCCCTGGGAAGCCAAAAAGGCGAGAACGCCAAAAATTGTTGAAAACTTCCGAGGACAATATTTAATTGTTGCCTCTGTGGGCCCTCTCGGGAGGTCTCTTGAAGCCCTCTTGGGGCGACTTGAAGGCGCTTTCGGCTGCCTGGAGGCCAGCTTTGGCGTCTTGGATAGCTCTTGGACCGTCTCGGACCATGTCGAGCTCTCTTGGAGGCCACTCGAAGCGCTCTTGGGAGCCTGCTGGGACCTGCTCGGGAGGAGCAGGATTCAGCAGGCTTAAACGGGATGACGCCAGATTTCTGATCAGGGCAGTGTCAGGACTGGACCTCCCAGGAGTTGCGTCCGACGGAGGAGGACAAGGGGGAGGAGGAGGAGGAGGAGGAGGAGGAGGAGGAGGAGGAGGCGGAGGAGGAGGAGGAGGAGGTGGAGGAGGAGGAGGCGAATGAGGAGGAGGACCCTTGGTTCGATGACAAGCTCACCCGGCTGTGCGGTGCCCGAGGCCGCTTGCGCGCGCCCGTCCTCCGTCGATTCTCGGCGGGCGGGCTCCTCCACCCCCTCGACAGGGTGCCCCGCCTCCTCCTCCTCCTCCTCCTTCCCCTTCCCCTCCCCCTCCTCCTCCTCCTTCCCTGCTCCCCCTCCTCCTCCTTCCCCTTCCCCTCCCCCTCCTCCTCCTTCTCCTTCTCCCCTTCCTCCTCCTCCTCCTCCTCCTCCTCCTCCTCCTCCTCCTTCTCCCCCTTGTCCTCCTCCGTCGGACGCAACTCCTGGGAGGTCCAGTCCTGACACTGCCCTGATCAGAAATCCGGCGTCATCCCGTTTAAGCCTGCTGAATGCGGTGGAATCCTGGTGGATCCCGCTCAATCCGCGGCCCAGCCCGGCGTAACAGGCCCCCACATTGGGGCTCAATTCTCCTTAATTAGTGTCTCCGTTGGCGAGCTCCCAGCAGTTGCTCCCTAGTCCTCCTCCTGCCACGCAGTCCCTTAAGGAATACAGTGAGCGGCTTGAATAAGGAGCACTTACTTTTCAAAAGGGGCTCGGTCGCTCCTTAGGCTTCCATGCGTGATTCACAGTTCCTTATGCGTTATGTGTTATTTATCGTTCCTGATGCGTTATTCCTTGGGATAGAAAAGGGGCTTCGTTCCTTATTTATCGTTCCTTAGGTCGGGCCGATGACTGTACCCGCCAAGGGGCTGCCCGCCTGCCCGGCGGAGCGGCCTGGAAGCGGGGGCGGGGGGGCAGCGCGAGCCCCGCCCGCGAGGCCCCTCGGGCTCCTAGCAGCGGCTCCACGTCGAAAGGATATGCCGCGGCGACGCCGCTCGGAGGGTCCAGCGAGCCGCACGGCCGGTGTGCCGAGGAGACCTCCCGGAGCCGCCGGGCCCGGCCTCCTTCGGGAGCCTCGGGGCGGTGGTCAAGGCAGACGGGGGTCAGCCAGGGCGCCAGATCCTGCAGGGAAATGCGAAGGCCCCCTCTGGCTGACCCGGGGGCAGCGAGCCGCTCGTGGCCGCGAGGCGGCCGCTCGTCGTGGCTGACCCGGGTTTGCAAAGACCTGCGTTGCAGTTTTTTTTTCTTGCATTGCAGTTTTTGGTTTCCTGCTGACCCGGGTCTGGATTGACCCGGGTCAGAAGATCCCCGACTCTTGCCACGCACGATGTTCATACAGTGGAGGCCCATGCCAAGAAACGCCTTGCTTGCCTCCAGGCTGCCCTGGGTTTCTTCAGCTTCAGTGGTTTAGCCATGGAGAGCGTGACGTTCCCGCGCCAAACATCAAGGGACGCCCTGGGGTCTCAGGGTGAGGTGTCTTGTGGAAGGTTTCTTGTGGACGGGCCTCCGCTGTGATTGGGCAGTCGCCGGCGTGCCACCATTCCCGCAGAGCGGTGAGGAGCATGCTGGCATTGCCTTCGTCCGCCCACGCGCTCCGGCGTATGGCACGAGGGATTGAGTGAGTGAGTGAGTGAGTGAGAGAGTGAGTGAGGGGAAGAGTTAGTATTCGAAGAAGAAGACGAAGAAAGAAAAACAAACAAACGCCACAAACAGACATGGTTGGCGCTCCTCGCGGATTTCTTGGATCTGCGCTGGGCCCCCCCCTAGGCGCCGCCTCTGGCGCCGCCCCTGGCGCGCTCCGCGCGCCAGGGAGGGGGGTTAAGCTCAGATCCAAGAAAGCCGCGCGGAGCGCCAAAAGGCCATGTTCGTGGCGTTTCTTCCGTATTCTTCTCAGTGAGTGAGTGGGTGAGTGAGTCAGGGCTGGACTTAAAGGCTGTTCTGCTGGACTTCGGCTGTGTTTTGTTTTTCGTTTTGGCATAGAGGTACACGAATACAGGTACAGTCGGCCCTGATTAGTAGGTCGACCCTGCCAAATCAAGGGCACCCTTAGGTACCCGTGTGTCCTGTGCCTCGCGACCCATGCCTCCTACATCCCCCCTTGCACTGTGGCCCTGGGAAGAGTCTGGTGTCCTCTCGCGTGCCCTGTCCAGTCGAGGCCGACCGTAGAGCAAAACGAACAACAAAACGAAGACAAGGCGAAAAACAACGCAGTCAGCGAGCGAAGAACGGTATAAAATCAACTTTTTCGCTGTCGGGGGCGCCTGTCCCTGGGCGGCTGGAAAGTTTATACCCCTACGGTGCCACCGTAAGGGTGTAAACTTTCCAGCCGCCCAGGGACAGGCGCCCCCGACAGCGAAAAAGTTGATCTTATACCGTTCTTCGCCCGTTAACTTAGGGCCAGCCCTGGAGTGGGTCCGAGCCTGTGAGCCGGCGCGTCCGCGAGCGGTGCTCCCCGTGCCCGGCGCGGGCCGCCGGCTCCGCCCCGACGCGTTATAGTTCGGGCGCCGGCCGCCGGCGCTGCCGGCGGAGGAGTGTCGCCGAGCAGCAGCACACAAAGTATTCAGGAGGAAAAGAAACACACAGACACAATTAATCTTCGATTTCCAGAAAATATGGGAAAATATTGGAAGTGGGGGGGAAGACGAAAACCATAAAAATATGGGAAAACATATGAACTAATTCTAGACGCTTCGCGTATCCCCACCAGCCCGTCCAGAAACGACGCCCAGGCGAGTAGAGGGTCGTCCTGAGGGGCTTTTCGGCGTCATGGGTGCCTCGGGGGGGCCTCTGTGGGCCGTTCGGGATCCTCTTTGGGGCCTCCTGGGGGCCTCTTGGGGCCTCTTGGGGCCATCTTGGGGCCTCTGGGAGCACCTTGGGTGCCTCTGGGGGATCTCTTGGGGCCTCTTGGGGGTCTCTTGGGGGCCTCCTGGGGGCCTCTTGGGGGGCCTCTTGGGGTCATCTTGGGGCCATCCTACGGCCTCTTGGGGCATCCTGGGGGCCTCTTGCGGCCATCGTGGAGGAAATCGATCAAAGAAGAGGGGTTCCTTAATTAGAGTCCCCCCCCAGGAGCCACGATCCTCGTGAGGGGTGTCGAATTTTAGCCTTCCCAGGGGTCGATCTTGGGCGCTCCAGCGCGCCGCGGAACCCCCTGTCCAGGTCAGTGGGGAGGGGGTAGGGGGAGGGGTAACCCCTCCCCGAAGGGGAAGAAGGAGGGGTGGAAGAGGAAACGCTCTAAACCACCGACGCCCAGAGGGCTGGTGGGATTTTATTTGTGTGTATTTATGTGTGTGTCGTGGGGCCCCTTTAAGTATGGCGGCATGCGTTACCAGTGGCGGGTTGTTTTCTGCAGTCCCTCGACTTTTTGAAAGGTCGGGGACGACGTCGGGGTGGTGTGGTGTATCCCTTTCCCCGTTTTCCATTACCAGTGGCGGGCTGTTTGTCCAATCCCACGACTCAGGAGCTGGAGGAATGCATCGACCCATCGCCCATGGATCGCCGATAGGGCGGACACTGGAGCATATACACTACCAGTGGCGGGCTGTTTTGCAATCCCAGGACTTTTTGAGGGTCGGGGGCGACGTCGGGGTGGTGTGGTGTATACCTTTCCCCCGTTTTCCATGGGAAGCAACGTAGAATGTATACACCAGGATCCCGTATACACCAGGACCCGCGTTCTTGTGCGAATTTCAGCGCAGGGTCGGAAGAAGCGTCGGTGTATAGAGTTCGTTTCCCTAGTACGGATGCTCAGTATCGCGTAGCCGACCCCCATCCCCATCCCCATCCCTTTCGAGACCCTCACCAGATTAACCGAGCGCGGGCGATAATAAAGGTCCCCCCTTTTCACCCCCTCTATGTTTATTATCCCCGTTCAACAGGAGTTGATTGTGGAGAGGGGCGCGGAGGCCGAACTTTCTAATCCACCAGATCACCATCATCATGATCATCGTCATCATCATCATCATCATCATCATCATCAGCATCATCATCATCATCATCATCATCATCATAACCTCATCTTCCCCGGGAAAATCGTTGATTATCCCCGCCAGACCCCCGAACTTTATTATCTCCCGGTCATTCTAATCGCCTGCACAGGGTTCCCCCCCCGTTGGGAATGCACCCTTCGAAACCCGAAGGGGACCGCCTGTATCCCCATCTGGGGGGGCAAATCGGCCAGTGGGGCGCAGGCCACGCCGCTGGGGATGGGGATCGGATACACGATGCTCAGATGTTCGGAGCTTCCGTGCGGCACAGGTACCAAGCCCCTGCAAATGGGGTGTCAGCAAGCGGGCTTGTAGCTAAGGGGCCGCTACGAGCGAGCACAGGGTGAGAGGGTATCTGCCTCGCGCTAGTGCGTGATACATCGGGGCGGCAAGATCGTCGATACCTCATCACATCTCGGGGCGGGGGGGGGATGAACTTGCACTTGTGCGCGGCAAGTCAATTTTCTGGAGGCATATTGAAAATGCCCCCTGATCTACCACCCCGTTTACAAACACTCCGTTTGCAGGGGCTTTGAAGTATAAATGTTCGGAGTTCCGTGCGGACCTCTAAGAGGTAATGCTTGTGCCGTTGTTTGCTCCTCCGCCGCCGCTGGCATCCGTGTTTGCGTGGTCCGTCAGGGGAGCCTCAGAGGGTCCCGAACATCCCTTGTTCAGGGTGGGGGATTCCGCTGGATTCGGTCGACATCTGGACGAACTTCGGGCGAAACCTAAACAGGGGGGTGAGGAGGTGTGGACGACACCCCGTCGAAACCACGCTCATGATGGAGCCGCGGAGGTCCACAGAGGCTCCCAGGAAGTGCCGAGGGCCCGTCACGCCGAGTGGGCGAGGGGCGCGCCTGGCAGGACTCGTGCATAGAGAAGACGCGGCGCATCGGCCAGGGCCAGAACATGGTCGGCGAGCGTGCGGCGCCCGGGGGCCGGCGGGGCTCCTGCTCCGCCTCCACGGGCAGCAGACGGGGTCCTCTAGAGACCCCGCGTCGCACGTCGCTGTGGGCGGGCTGCGCCACGGTGGGGGTCGGCGCAGATGGGGCCCGTGGATCGCGCCGCGTCGCCGATGCATCGGCGATGCGGCGTCGAAGTTCGGGTATAGCCAGGACCCCGGGTAAGGGGACCCGGTTAGTCGTAGGGCCCTGGGGCCCCTCAATTGGCCAGATTCGCTAAACCAGGTTTGCCGTAACTGGTGTTTTTCGGGTGAAGGCAGTTCCGGTTAGTGGAAATGGGACGGGGGGGCGCCCCCGGTACAAATCACCAAACCAGGTTCCACTAGACCCAGTTCTGCCAACGCCCGAGACGTGGAGCCTTCTCTCCAGGCCGGCGTCGCCCATGCACCCGCGAATCGGCGCGATGCCCTGACCCCATCTGCTCGGACCCCATGTGGGCGGCCTCCGAGCGCATCCATATATCCACCGCTCCCCATGGGGTCCTGGGAGAGCGGTTTCCCAGGGAGGGGATGCGTACAGCTTTGGGTCTCGACGTTACTTCGCGTGTTCGAGGGACCTCGTTTGTTCTGTCGGCAGGGGCCTCCTCCTGCGACCAACGCGGCTTCGACGCGCGTTCGACGTGGATCCGAAGAGGACTCCACGCGGACAGCAGTGCAAGGGCACCGAGAAGGCCGCCCGACGATGCAGCAGGGAGCTTTGCATAGCCGCCCCTGTGCATGTTTGTCTCGGCGAAGACCATCGAGAAGCATCTCGAACCACTGTGTGAACAAAGCGAGCACGAAGTCGACGAGTACGCCTGGGAACGGACAGGGGAGGGGAGGTGCTCCGGGAGCTCGAGCACATGGAGTACCTCTGCGAGGCAGAGTCCAGGTACCCCGGGCAGGACTGCTCCCCCCCGTCGCACGCGTCCTGCCTGGCGGAGGGAGGCGCGCGGCGCAGGGAGGAGGTCCCAGGTACCCGACGTCTCGGCTCGAAGCACTACGGAGGGTTCTGGGTCGTGTTTGGCCCGACGGGGACCTCAACTTACCAGTTTGAAGCATCTACATCAGGCCTCCTAGATGGGGTCCGAGTGGATGGGGTCGGAGGATCGCGCCGCATCGCCGATGCATCAGCGATACGGCTCGACGTGGGGCCCGATTTTCTCCACGCCGACGTCGCCGATGCATCGCCGACGTCGCCGATGCATCGCCGTTGCATCGGCGACGCATCGCCGATGTATCGGTGTTGCCGCGAGATCCTCGGACCCCATCTTCTCGGACCCCTATCGAAGAAGCCTTTGTATACCCGTCCTTCTGATTGGCATTACCTGATCTCGATGCCGATCGTGCTGAGGGGCGACGAAGACGACGACGACGAGGACGACGACGACGACGACGACGACAACGTCGAGACAGGCACTGTCACGAGCTGGAGAATGCATCGACCCATCGCCCATTGATCGCCGATAGGTCGGACACTGGAGCATATACATTACCAGTGGCGGGCTGTTTTGCAATCCCAGGACTTTTTTGAGGGTCGGGGACGACGTTGGGTCGGTGTGGTGAAAACATGTCGTTTCCGTTTCCTTGGGGAGCAACGAGACATGAAAACACCCGGGTCCCAAAGACACCAGGATCCGTTTTCCTGTGCGAGTTTCAGTGCGGGCCAGAAAAAGCGTCGGTGTACAGAGGTCGGTTCCGTACGTTGCGTTTCCCTGAAGAAGCAACAAGAATTGCATACACCAGGATCCCGTATACACCAGGATGCTTTTCTCTGTGCGAATTTAGCGGGGCGGGAAAAAGCATCGGTGTATAGAGTTCGGCTCCTTACACGGGGGAATGCATCGCCTCATCGCCCATTGATCGCCGATAGGGGCCCGATAGCCCACCCCGCCCAGGACCATGCGGATTTGCTATTGGGGGCCTACCGCCGATCTATTGACGGTGAATCGTCGATTTAAGCCCGAAGCTTCCCCCCTGAGCTGGCCCCCCCAGAACGTTTCCTCTCAAAGGCTTCCAACATTCGAACAGGGGATCGGTTGCAGAAGTGACATGCCCAATATGTAAATTTTCGTCGAGTCGAATATATGAGAAAAAACGTCGAACATACATATTATATATACATATATATGTGAACAGTCGATGCTTGTTTCGTAAATTCAGCACGCACATCAATACTGGGGTACATCATCTATGTAGTCGTCGAAGGTGAGCAAATTGCATAAACATGAATTCTTGGCGCTCCGCGCGTGCTTCTTAGGTCTTCGCTAGGACCCGATCCCTGGCGCGCGGAGCGCGCCAGGGGCGGCGCCGGAGGCGCCGCCACGGGGGTCCCAGCGCAGAGCGCAGATCCAAGAAATCCGCGCGGACCGTCAGAAGTTGTTGTTTATGCCGCTCGTTGTCTCTCCAAGTCGATCTTGCACGAGGCAAGAGTTTCTTGCACGAGACAAGACTCTCCTGCAGGTCGATCTCTTGCACGAAACAAGAGTTTCTCCTCCTGCCTGCCTCCCCCCACCCCCTTCGGACTTCGGGCCTTCTCCCCTGGCCGGGGGCGGCTCCCCCGCCCACGCCGTCGCGTCGGGCCCGCCGTGGGGCCCTCAGAGCAGGGCTGGACTTAAGCTGTTCTGCTGGACTTCGGCTGTGTTCTGTGTTTCGTTTGGGCAGGCAGGTGCAGGGAGGCAGGCAGAGCAAAACGAAGCACAGCACGAAGACAAAGCGAGGATCAAGGTTTGGATCCAGCCCTGCCGCAGAGAGAGCGGCCGCGTGGCGGGCGGCGGCGACACGGGGGGCCGCCGCCTTTCATCGGCAGTGTCCTCGGCGTCTCGAGCGATCCGAAGAAACGAAAAACGGCATGAGCAGAAACTCTTGGCGCTCCGCGCGGCCTTCTGAGAAATCCTGAGCCCTCCCCAAAGACAATCAGAGCTTCTCAGAAGGCGCGAGGGCTTCTGAGATCGGGCCGAACGACAGGGGGGGATAGAGGAAGGGGGAGTCACGAAATCTGCTGCATGTAGCTGGTTTCGGCCCCGCCGCCGGGCCCATTTCTCGACACATGGGCGCCTCCCGGCGCCGGCAGGCGCTGGGAAAATCAGCTACGTGAGCTGATTCTCTATTCTGCCCTTTGCTATCCCCCCCTTTCGTTACCCCCGATGAGAAGTCTCGCCGCCTTCTGAGCAGGCCTTCTCCTTCGCATTCCCCCCCTCGCGCGCAGCCGAGATCTGCGCTGGGGGCCCCCACGCCGGCGCCTCCAGCGCCGTCCCTGGCGCTCAACGGTAATCGACGCTAAATCGACGCTAATCTACGCTAGCCGACTAACCGGCGCTATCTCATCCACTCCCAGACGCCAATCGACGCTGAAGAAGGAATTAAGACGGCATGCCAGACTCCCATGATTTGCTACCGAGCCATCGTATTTGAGGGACGCATCCCAAGAATAGTTGCGAGCACCCCAAGAATACCGAAGAGTGCCTGCCCGACACGCTGGCGAAATATCGAGCGAGCATAGCCTTCCCGGGGCCCGACACGTGATCTGTGGTGGGCCCCCCCGGCGGCGCCTCCAGGGCCGGTGGGTCCCAGCGCAGATCCAAGAAATCCGCGCGCAGCGCCAAATGTTATGCGCAGGTACGTCTCGGGTTGTGATGTTCCAACCTACTGCGGCCTGGATCGCCCGAAAGCATTCCCAGCACCGAGGAGATGCCGAAACTATAATGTTTGTTTCACGTGTGGGGCCCCGGGAAGGCCATGCTCGCTCGATACTTCGCCAGCGTGTCGGGCAGGCACTGTTTCTTTATTTTTGGGGTACTCGCAATTATTCTTGGGATGTGGCCCTCAAGTACGATTGCTTCGGTGGCAAATCATGGGAGCCTGTCATAGTTCCTTCTTCAGCGTTGATTGGCGTGTGGGAGTGGATGAGATAACGCCAATTTAGCGTCGACTAGCGTCGATTTAGCGTCGATGACCGTCGACTAGCGTCGATCAGCGTCGATTCGCAAGAGCCGACACAACCGTATGGGAGGCTCCCATGAGTTGCCACCGACCGATGGGAACAGCAGAAGCCTCGAGTGCAGGAGTCAGCGTCAGCCCGTGCGACCGAGTAGCTGATGCGTTCGGCGGCACAGGCTGGTTTTGTTGGAGTCCCGCCCGGCTTCCCTCGGGGGGGCTAGGACAAGGATCAATCCGTTCCAGAGCTTTCCCGAGCGCACTCGGAGCGTTCCGGAGCGCTATGAGAAGGTCTAGGCCTCCTAGCTGGGGTCGGAGTAGATGGGGTCAGAGGATCGCGCCGCATCGCCAATGCATCGGCGATGCATCGGCGATGCATCGCCTACATCGACGATGCGGCTCGATGTGGAGCCCGATGTTCTCCACACTGACGTCGCCGATGCATTGGCGATGCGGCGCGATCCTCCGACCCCATCTTCTCGGACTCCATCTAGGAGGCCTCCAGAAGGCCGCGGCGCCCGAGACAGTCTCCAGAGCATCTCCACCCGATTTGGCTCCCGTCCTGGCTTCGTCTGACCTTTGGAGAGCCCCCCGCTCCCGCCCCTTGGTCGTCGTCCCTCACTCGGCTCCACGTGAGCGTGACCCTCCGCCGGAGTGACCCTTCGTGCGCTCAGTGGGGTCTCCCGATCGCTGCACGCGATGCGACGGGAGCGGGGTCGCGCCGCTCGGGCTTGGCCCCCCCCCCACTCCCCCCACAAAGCCGCGCACCTGAGGTCACGTTAGTCAAGGGTCACCCTGGCGTGGAGACGACTCATCGAGAACAGAGGAAGCCGCAACCCGAAGGCAACGATGAAGACGTAGCCTCACTTAGGCCCCCGTCCTCGCATTAGGGATCGTCTGTCTGGGCGGCTTGGTCTGCTACATCTGCTGGAAAGACCCGCCTATCCCTTGTTCTGGCCCTCCTAAATGAGGTCCCCTCCCAATGGCTGAGGGGTATTTCGATTGCTTATCAGCCTCACCCCAGGACGAGCGCGGCTCCCGCGAGGCGATCGCGGGCATGCGCCAGGCGGGCGGCCGCCCCGCCCCCGCACCGTCGCCTGCCCGCTGGTCAGCAGTCGCGACGGCGGCGTCTCGGCGGCGTCTCGGCGGCGTCGTGGCGGCGTCGCGGCGGCGTCGCGGCGGCGTCGCGGCGTCGCGGCGCCGTCGCGGCGGCGCCTCGGCGGCGTCCACGGCGACGTCGCCTGCCGCCGTGCCGCGCTGTGGCGGGGCGCTGCGGCAGGGCCGCGCTCCGGCGCCGGCGCGGCCAGTGGCGGCGCCAGCAGGGCGGGCGTTCCAGGCCGATTGACCTCCATTCCTCCTCCTCCTCCCCCTCCTCGTCCTCCACTCCTCCTCCTCCTCCTCCTCCTCCTCCTCCTCCTCCTCCTCCTCCTCCTCCTCCTCCTCCTCCTCCTCCACTCCTCCTCCTCCTTTCCTTTCCTTTCCTCCTCCTCCTCCTCCTCCTCCTTTCCTTTCCTCCTCCTCCTCCTCCTCCTCCTCCACCTCCTCCTCCTCATCCTCCCTTTCCTTCTCCTTAATCTCCTTCTCCTCCTTCTCCTCCTCCTCCTCCTCCTCCTTGTCGTCCTTTTCCTGCCGCCGCGCGGGCAGTCCTCTCAGGCGGGCGTTCCAAACCGAGCGACCTCCACGGTTCTGCTGATCCCATCGTACTTACGGACCTCGTCCCAGAAATAGGTTCGAGCACCCCGAGAAGCATCGACTACACGTAAGAGTGACCTTTCGCCGTAGTGACCTTTGGTGCGGGCTTGTCGGGGCCCCAACGATCGCTGCGCGCGGTGCGATAGCGGCTGGTTGCGCGCTTGGATTTGGCCACTTCTTGCCCCATTGGTCCGCGCACCACAGGTCTCTCTTGCCTAGGGTCACTCTTGCGTGTAGCCGATGTGTTGATTCCATCGTATTTGAGGGCCACGTCCCAGAAATGAGTTCGAACGCCTAGAGCAAAACATCGAATGCCTGCCCGACGCGCTGGCGAGAAACGTCGAGCAGGTGTAGCCTCCCAGGGCCCAGCGCGTGAAGATCCGCCAGTTTGGGTGATTTCCTGGTGCTTGAAATTGTGATTGTTCCCCGGTGCACTGTTTTGCCGATCGGCGCGGGCCCTCGCACCCCCCTCCCCCCCCCATGGAGCAGATCTTGGCTGTTTTTGGCGCCTGTTTTGAGCAGGCGGAGCCCCCCCCACAGGACCCCCCATTGCAGGCAGCGGCATCAAGCAGGGGTCCGGAGCCAGGACCCCCCCCCTGCCCTCCCCCGTCCGCCCAATGTCGAAACGCCGAATACAGTCGGGCCACTGAGGAAGGAACCCTTTTCGTTGGGGAGGGGCTCCGCGTTCCTTAAGTGTTTCGCAGCCTGCCTCAGGTTTTCCTTGTGTTTTCGATCGGAAATCGAAGTTCAACTCATGGAAAAAAGGGGCCTCGTTCCTTATTTTGGGTTCCTTTCCCCGGTGCACTGTTTTGCCGATCGGCGCGGGCCCTCGCACCCCCCTCCCCCCCCCATGGAGCAGATCTTGGCTGTTTTTGGCGCCTGTTTTGAGCAGGCGGAGCCCCCCCCACAGGACCCCCCATTGCAGGCAGCGGCATCAAGCAGGGGTCCGGAGCCAGGACCCCCCCCCTGCCCTCCCCCGTCCGCCCAATGTCGAAACGCCGAATACAGTCGGGCCACTGAGGAAGGAACCCTTTTCGTTGGGGAGGGGCTCCGCGTTCCTTAAGTGTTTCGCAGCCTGCCTCAGGTTTTCCTTGTGTTTTCGATCGGAAATCGAAGTTCAACTCATGGAAAAAAGGGGCCTCGTTCCTTATTTTGGGTTCCTTAGGTCAAGCCCCCGAGTGTATGAAAACGTTTGGATACTTCCTGGTGGTCCATGCTCGGTCGGCATCGGAGTCTCATAACACCGCGGCGGGCGTGTCCCTCTCGGGGGGTGGCCTCTGTGGGGGGGGGGGCGGGGGGTCCTGCGGGGGCACGGCCGGGCGCACCTCTCGGAGCCTTGCCTCCGGAGGCGCGCCCACGGAGGGGGAAGGCTTGAGTCGGGCGTGTCCCTCTACAGGAGGAATTCTCAATCATAACTCAGTCACAAGAATGGTCTGGGGACGATGTGTCGACTATGTCTGTTCTCTTGCCATGTTCCTTCCGAAATCCGTCTGCAGGAGGACGCGCCCGACAGAAGAAGGGGAGGCAGAGCGGGCGGGGGCGGGCCCCCTCGGGAGGCTCGGAAGGCCGCCCGCCTTCTGAGAGGTGGTTTGCGCCTTCTCCGAAGCCCCGCCTCATAGGAAGACGAGGAGGGGGAGGAGTAGGCGGAGGAGGAGGAGGGGGAGGGAGGAGGAGGAGGAGGAGGAGGAGGAGGAGGAGGAGGAGGAGAAGGAGGAGGAGGAGGAGGAGGAGGAGTAGGAGGAGGGGGAGGAGGAGGAGAAGGAGGAGGAGGAGGAGGAGCAGGAGAAGGAGGAGGAGGAGGAGGAGGACCTCCCTATCCTCCCCTCTCCCACGTCCTACCCATGGTAGTGGCGGTGGAGAATCGGCCCATCATGCTCGGCCTCCTCGCCTCGCACGCCTGTCCTCGCGGTCGTCCGTACGCGCGGGGGTCCTGGGCGGCGCGGGTGAGCACGGGGACAGCGACCTCGGCTGCGCGTACTTACTTCCCCATCTTCGTTCGACGAGGATCACGTCGTCTTTGTCCTCCTCCTGCTCCTGTTGTCCACTCCTCCCGCTCCTGACCCTCTTTCCTCGTTGCTCGTCCTGCTCATGGTCCTCCGTCTCATTCCCAGTCTCATTCCTCATCATCTTGATCATTATTTCTTTGTCCTTGGTTCCCATCGTCGCCATCCCACTCCTACTCATCTCAGCCCTGATCTCCAACGCAATCTGGTTGGGTTGGCATGGACCCCGGACCTCTCAACCGCATCACGGGGACCCGTTGTTCACCCGTGGTACGTTCATGGATTGCACCCCGCTCCGAAACGGACCTCCAGAGCTCCCCGATCGGACGCTGCGTTTGTTTGTTGGTTGTGAGGGATGTCTGCGCCATCCTCTTGAAAATGAAACTCCCTGACCTGTGCTAGGGTGTGTTCTGTCCAGGACTCCAGGGCAGATCTGGCCGACCGACACGCTGGGCCCCAGACGTTCGCCGAGATCTCTGTGCAACGTCGTGCGCACAGCTCCAGAGTCTGCTGTGCCTGCGTCGAAGCAGGGCCAGGAACGACAACATCGGCTCTCCCGCCTGGCCCTGGACCCTTCCCAGCGTTCTTCCTATCTCGGGGGAGCAGCGGCACGGCATTTTTTTGTCCCCCCAGAGGTCCTCCCTTCCCTATACCTCCGCCTCCGCCTCCTCCTCCCCCTCCTCCTGCTCCTCATCCTCCTCCTGCGCCTCCTCTCCCGCTCAAGATCGGTCCGCGGACACTTTCCAGGCTTCGTCCTGGCCCCTTTTTCGGCGCGAGTCCAGCACCAAGAGCGCCAGGGAGCCTGTCATCGATCGGACGTGTGCATTCTTCTCGACGGTGCGGTGGCAGCGCCGGGACCGCGGCGGCCATGCTGGGATGCGCGTGTCCGGGTGGCAGGACCGGCTGCCAGAGCGGGGGCAGGCGTTGCTGCTCTTCGGCGACCTGCGTTGCGTCGGGGGCGACGCAGCAGAATTCGTTGCCTTAGCTGCGCGCCGCATCGCGCAGCTGTCCAAGGTGCTCCTCTGCGTCGGGCGCCCCCCCCCCCCCCCTGGGCGCCTGCGCTCGCTCATGTCGCCCGAACGCGCCTGTCAACAAAATATGATTTCCGACGGTGGGCCCTCGAGGAGCATTCTGGGGCAGCTTGCGAAATCGACGCGCGAGAAACCAAAACATGCACGGGGGATGGGCGCCCGAACGATGGCGACGAGAGGACCGGCGCCGTTTCGGCTGGTCCTCCCATTTTGGACCGGCGTTTCACCCCGAGTCGGTTCTGTTTTCGTCCTGGGGCCAAACAGGCGCCCCCGGAGGCCGACAATGGCCCGCAGCTCTCCGTCGCGATCTGTTTCGCTACAGGGGTATCTTGGGACCTCCAGATGCCTTCGGGGGGGTCCTGGGGGCCTCTGGGAGGGAACGCGCAAAAGACGCACGCGCCCAACCACGTACGTGAACACGACTCCCCAGTCCGCGAGACCAGCCGCGGGTTACGAACGTTTGAGCAATGAATATTCTGGAAATATACGCTGACGCATGACGTGTGCGACCTCCTGTCGCTCCTGCTGCGGGGGAGGGCAGAAAAGGCTGCGGAGGGTCGGCCTCGGCGGTCGCAGGCAGGGGCGCGGCCGATGCGCCAGCGACGCGATCGCCCAATCTCACCTGTTCGCCTCTTGCTTCGAGCCTCGGATGCCTGTCACGGGCCCCAGGATTAAGTCGAGCTTGGAAGATCCGAAAATACTTTCCAAAATGGGATGTTTTTTTTGTTTGTGTCATTGTGGAGCATTTGCTTGACGATGCTTAATTTGCCTTTTTTTTCAAAGACGCCTGTAGGAGGACATTCCCGACCTGACGCCAGGACCGTCCCCAATGAGAATCCGTGGTGCAGTAACCGGTCCCCTGGGAAGGGGGTCCCAGATCCCCGGCGTCATGATGTTCCACAACGTTCGTTTCCCCAGGAACAGTTTTTCATACCGAGTAGTTTCTCGACGGTCCCGACGCCCAATATGTCCCCCAGACGCCAAAGACAGAAAACATGTCCGTCGTGATTTTGTCACGACTCGTGGGGGTTTGGTGGCAAGGGTTCCGCCATTGTCTTCACATCCTCATGGGGTGGTATCGTTATCTCTTATACGCCTCTGGTCCTTGCCCTTCTTTCTCGTCCCATGCTCCTTCTGGTGAAGTTTATTCAAGTATCCGTACTCGGGTCATTCATACTACGCGTGGTTTTTCTCAGATGCATTCATATTCTCTTTATCGTATTCATATGTATGTTCATTGTCAGAGCACATACTCATACTGATATTCAGACTCGTAATCGTGTGCGTATTCGTATTCATCCTCATACTCATATTCATACTGAAACCCAGATTCGTTCATATGCGTTGAGACTTATTTGCAATCAGACTCGCTTTCCCTCACTCAGAGTCAGGCACATCACGCCCTCTCTCAGACTCACGCACTCACGCACACACAGACTGCGAATGTCTCAGGCAAGGCGTTGGTTCCAACACTCCCAGAGGGCAGGCCGCCAAGGGGTATTGCACGGGCCCGTTCGCGCCCAGATGGTGGGGATGTGTCAAGCGGTTTGCTTGTTTCTGCCCCCCAGACCTCGGTCTTATGGTGGTCCACTGCCTACCGCGATGTCGCACGTGTGGCACGTAGGCGCCCCGAGAGGGGAGCCGCCTGAGGGGGTATTGCACGGGCCCGATCGCGCTCAGATTGTGAGGATGTGTCGAGCAGTTCGTTTGTTGCTGCCCCCCCTCCCACATGCGTTTTGCTTGGTGGTCATTGCTCGTCGTGCCAGTTCAATCACCCCAATGGGGAGCCTCCAGGAGGTATTGCACGGGCCCGTTCGCTACCATATTGTGGGACATCTCTGGCGGGCCCCCCAGTCTTCGCTCTTGTGGTAGTCCACTGCTCATCGCGATGCAGCAGGCGTGGCACTTGGCCACCCCAATGGGGAGCACTCCGAGGCTATTGCGCGGGCCCGTTCGCGCCCAGATTGTTGGGATGTCTCTTGCGGTTTGTCTGCGTCTGTCCTTCCAGGCGTTTCTGCTCGGTGGTTGGCTGATCGCCGCGATATAGCGGGCGTGGCACATGGGCGCCCCCATGGGGAGCGACCAGGAGGTATTGCCCAGACTTCGCTTGTTTCGCCCCCCCCTCGGACTTAGCTCGTTTGGTGGTCTGCTGGTCATCGCGGTATAGGAGGCGTGGGCGTGGCACTTGGGCACTTCCAGTGGGGAACGGTCAGGGCTGGGGACATTCCAGGGTTCGCGCCCAGAGTGTGGGGTTGTTTTTCGCGGTTTGCATGCTTCTGCCTTTGTTTTCCTGTTGGAGGTCCATTGCTCACCACGATGTAGCAGGCGTTGCACTTGTGCACTCCATGGGGGGGGGGGCGTTGCAGGAAACGCGTCCAGATGGGAGCCTTGTGTCAAGCAAACAGTTTGCCTGCTTCGGCCCCCCAGGCTTCTCTTTGGATGTGTGTCTTTCTCATGCACTCGCTCACTCCCTCCTCCTTCTCATTCATACGCCCTCATTCACAGTCAGATCTACTCATCAGCAATTCTTCATGAGCTAGTCCAACTCATCACACTCATATTCATCTATATTATGATCCTCTCATATGCAGACCCGCTCATACTTGGACTCGCTCATTTGCAGAGCCAGTCAAGATCGGATTGGCCCCAGTCAAGATCGGGCTGGCCCACTCCCAGACGAACTCACACTGAGACCCAGTTACACTCAGGCTCACCCGCCCTCAGACTCACTCATGCTTAGACTCGCCCGTACTCAGGCTCACTCAGACTCAAGCTCATTGTCGCCATACCAAAGTCAAATTCACTCACTCTCTTATGCACTCACTCGCACTCAGGCCAACTCGAACTCAGAGTCACTCACTCGCAGACTCATTCATGCTCAGACCCACCCGTGCTCACAGCATTGTATTCAGACCCGCTCGTATACAGGCTCAATCATACCCCAGTCATTCACATTCAGACTCACTCACACTCAGACCACCCACGCTCATATTCACTCACACTAAGGCTCACAGTGATATGGCAACCGCGAAAGATCGGCGTGGTTTATCGTTGCAGTTGCCGCGCAAGGCTCGGACATTTGCAAGCCGTGCAAATATAGACTTGCTTCATTGTTCCAATCGACCACGCGATCTGCACATCTCCTTCCGTGCCTGTCTGATCAGGTAGCGTCAATTGCATCCCCGGTATAGTCCCACTTCGCCCCCAGGTGTGCCGTTGGCAGCTGGAGTGCAGTGGGTACAATTGGGTTGATTGCGGGGCAATCTTTGCAGGCATCTTCAATGCACCGAAGGATTGCTTTTTTTCGCGTTGGTTATGTGCTGCTCTTCTCTTGCCGCCCGATCCATCAGCTGCACATCGAAGTGGAGCATGCGAATCTTCACGCACAGCAGCGACAAGACATGATCATGTTGACCCACCCGCGTTCCTAGTCGAATCCATCCCAACGCTTCTGCTGCAAACCAGTTTGTCGTCTTCTCCTGGTTCTTCTGGCCACACTAATGGGCATGGTAGGCACTACTCATTCCAGGACGTTCGGAGCGGTTGTAGAAGCAGCAGGCATTTCGTACAGGTCCTGAGCAGAGTGCGGGATACTGGCGGTGATGTTGTTCCCGAAAGAAGTGCTGGCACTTGGACGTTCTTACTTGTCTTACTCAGTCCTTGGACGGGTCCGGCGATGCTCTTCAACGATGACGCGCGTGACAGCCTCGTGGCCGCCTCGTGCGCTGGGCGGGTCCGGCGAGGTTCCGCCGCGCTGCCGCCCGGGGCCGCCTCCGCCTCGTGCCCTGGTTGCGTTCGGCGAGGTTTCGCCACGCTGCCGCCCGTGGCCGCCTGGTGGCAGCCTGGAGCTTGCACCACGTGTACTGCACCACAGATGGGGCGACGAGATCTATGCATACCCACTGCTCCTGGCCAGGCCCATCCTGGGCCCAGGAGCTGTGCATGCGCCCTCCTGGCTTGGACAGGAAGACATACACACCGCTCGAGGGCCCAGGGTGGGCCTGGCCAGGAGCAGTGGGTATGTATAGATCTCGTCCCCCTGACAGAGCTTACACATCCACACGGCGACGACTTACAGTTTGGGGCCCCCGCTCGGAAACTGGAGCATATGCATTACCAGTGGCGGGCTGTTTTTTGCAATCCCAAGACTCTTTTTGACGGTCGGGGACGACGCCGGGGTGGTGTGGTGTATACTTGTTATCCGGCTTCCCAGAGGAACAATGAAACATGTATACACCAGGATCCTGTATACACTAGGATCCGTTTTACAATGCAAGTGTCAGCGCAGGGCCGGAAAAAAGCGTGCTCCGGGAGAGGTCCAGGGAGAAGGTTTACCGGGATACAGTCAACGCGCCTAGTAAGGACGCGCGCCTTCATCCAGGGGGCCCTTGTATCCTTGTCTCTGCGGCCCGCCCTTTGCCGTTTTCACTGGTCGTCCGCCGCCCCAAAAACATCATTTTCGGCCTTCAAGGGTCTTACGTTCTTTCCAACCGGCCTTACTGCACGTTTTGACTGCATGATTGTCTCCCCAAGTGGGCGCGTCAGCTTGAAGCTCCCGTGGGCCAGGTGAGCCCCGCAGCCATCGTCAGATGTCGACAGTGTTCCCCTTGGTGGCCGCGAGCTCTCCTGGGACGACCAACGAGCCCCTTGCCCTGCCCGGCACTGCCCGCGGACGTCCTCGGGCCGTGCTCGGGCTCCGTGCTCTCGCTGCTGCCCACCTGGATGCCACTCCTGGGGGATCAAATTCTGACTCTGCTCAGGAGGGGAGGAACACACACAGACACAATTCATCGCCGACTCCCAGGAAGATATGGGAACATATGGGAAGTGGGGGGGAACACAAAAACCGAGAAAATATGGGAAAATATGGGGAACATGTTTATTTGTGTGGATTTATTTGTGTGTTTGTGGGCCCCGTCGTTTGCCCTGGTCCGAAATGCGGCTGGAATCCGGCGTAATCCTAATTACCCCGTTTCCTCCGCGGCCTCATCTGGCGCAACAGCCCCCCAAACGGGGCCAAATTCTCCCTGGTCCTTCCCCACGAAGACCCCCCAGCAGTCGCCGGCGTGGCAGCCCCCCACCGGGGCCAACTTCTCCCCGGCCCTTCCGACGAGGACCTCCCGGCAGTTGCCTCCTGCCACCTGGCGCTGCACGTCGGCCTTGCTCGAGCCTGCTCGGAGATCGCCGCCTGGTTCAGCCACGCGCAGAGGGGGGGTCATGGGGGAGGGGGGAGGGCTTCTCAGGGGCACCCCTGTGGGCCCTATCCACAGATGCGAGGCTGGCGCCTCCTGAGGAGCAGCCTCCTTCGAGAAGCCCTCCCCCCCTCCCTCCACCCCCTTGCCGCCTGGCCCACTCCTCGATACATGGGCGCCTCCCGGCGCCGGGAGGCGCTGGGAAAATCAGCTACGTGAGCTGATTCTCTACCCTACCCTTTGCTATCCCCGTCTTTCGTTCCCCCCGAAGATCGCCGCCTGGTTTTTCAAGCAGTGGCGAAGCGTCCTGGCGTGCCTATAGCCCTACCAAGCAATGTTCTAAGAACCTTTTGTGGTTCCCGCGAAATGTTCTTAGAACATTTCTGGCTGGGACTGTCTTCTTTTATCACATCGGGTTCCTGTTCTAAGAACACTGTTTTTGTTCTTAGAACATTTTTAGGGTTCTAAAAAACATTTCGTGGTAGGTCTATGGGAGTGCCGGGACGGTCAGTCCCTGCTCAAGTTTTGCGCCCCTGCACGGCCTCCCCTCGTCCTGGACGCCCCCCCGGCCCCGCCCGGGGCCGCGGCGGCACGCGCCCCCCCCCCCCCCCGAGGAGACCTGCACGGCCCGAGGTTTTCTTTTTTGTCGCCCGTGCCTCTCCCTCGCCTCCGCGGCCGCCCTGCGTCGCCTGTGCCTCGGCATCGCTCGAGAGGAGCATCCTCGATCCTCCTGTGACCCAGATGCGCGCACGGAGTCGACAAGAGTGCGCTGGAAATGCACGTCCGAGCGATCTGCCGGGGGGGCCCCCTCGCCGTGCGGTGCTCCAGCAGCCGCTCAGTGCCCCGGGCCCCGGGGGGCCCGACGGACCTGAGATTCTGCCGGGTCCTCGACGAGCAACATGTGACAGTTCTCAGAGCGTGAATTACCTACCCCGCTTTCGCTTCCAGGCAAAACCAAGTCATACCACGCGCCTCCTCGTCAAGCGGCCTGACCAGTGCAGGCCGTAGTTTGGCATCGCTTGGTATCTCTTGGAATCGAAGGTGGTCAACAGCGAGGTAGGTTTGTTTGCCCCCTAAGCTCGAAGCGAATTCACGAAAATGGGGTGCCGCCGTGGCGTTCCGCCTCCCTTGCGCGCGCTATCTGCTCCGAGCCTTCTCCCCGACGGCGCAGTCTGGGAGGCCTGGCGATGCGGCGCCAGTCCCAAGTCGACGGGCGTCCGTGTTTTTGTTTGTTAAGGGTTCTGGGAAGGGCGCAGGCCTTCGGCAGCATCTGGGGGCTTCGGCAGGGGATGCAAGCCCTTGTTTTCAGTCGGGCCTGTCCCTCTACCGGAGGAGTATTCAAAGATAGTCAAAAAAATAGTCCGGGGACAATGTTTTGACCATTTTGGAATACTTTGGGGCATGTTTAAACTGTTTTTTGTTTTCGTCCAAGATTCCCCTGTAGGGGGACAGGCCCGACTTAACACTTGTTATCAGAGGTCGTGGGCGAAACAGATTTCAAGGGCGCCCTCGAGGGCGCGAAGTCATTCGCGCTTCGCGGTTCGGCTCCGATTCCTCCTCCTCTTCTCCCCTTGGGAGGCGGCGCGAGAGCGCGAAGTTATGATCGCGAGGGCGCGGGTGCGGAGATGCTCGCCGTTCGTGGAGAAGGAGCATGGGAGGGGGGGGAAGTGAAAGCCGTGTGATTTTACATCGGCATCTTAAATCACCCCGATTAAAATCTGTACTATTCTAGTAAGGAATGAAATCCCACTTTCGAACATCTCGGATCTTTGATCCGACCGCTCTTGGCTCAGTCCTCTAGGATTCTAGGGGGGAAGGGGGGGCCAGGGGAGATTCGGACGGGCCCCGTGAGAGGGAGGGGGAGAGCGAGTGGGAGGGGGCCCGGGAAGGGGAGGGTGTCGTTGAGGGGGGGCGACAGGGAAGGGGGGAAGGCAGGCAGGGTGAGGAGACTGTGGGACGGGCGATCGCGAGGTCGTGAGGCAAATGTGGATGAGGGGGTGATGACTATGGGAGGCTCCTCCCTCATCCTTCCTCTTCGTCCCTCCTTGCTCGTGTACCCCTGGGATGGACATGTAACATGTAGGCTTGTATGGTGCATGCGGGGCGCGTGATTATTGTAGTAAGCGGAAAGCTGCTTGGAGGGAGAGGAATGTAAATACAGCATGCCAGCATGCCAAGCGGATAGCGACACTAAAAGAACGAAGGAACAGTGCGACGTCTAAGAACCAGATAGTGGGATAATGGCGATGAAGATAGGGTGGTGATGACGATGAGCAAGGTAGTGATTAGTTGTGATGCCTCTTAGTGATGCCACGTGGCTCTTTAACACCATGCTGCATTCTCACTCAGTGTGGCCATATGTCTAAACCGCGGCTGCGGTGTTGTAGTGCTCGCGACGTTGATGCATGTCATCATGTTGTTGCTTCGATTTCGGATGTCCACCATGCTACTAATATCACTGGCCAGTCGATATATGTTATGTATTTGGGAGTTGTGTTTGTATGCTTCATGTCTTGTTATTCAGCTCAATCGTCCGATTGTCTTGCAGATCCTCCTTGTTGTGCAATTGGCGTGTCGGTGCCAGGCATGATGTACAGCAAGGAAGAGTCGTGAGCGCCTTTTCATGCCTTTACTTTGGGTGGCCAAATGCTGCGGGACCAGTAGGACATCTTTGACTCAGAGGAGTCGTATGTGTAGGTCTCACCAGAGGGTGGAGTTGGCGATGGTGAGGGTGCTTGTTACACCGCCGTGGCTATCGGCAGCAGGATGTCAATCAACAAACATGTGCTCGGAAAGATGTCGAGGCAAACAGGACACACAAAACATTCTCCTCATGATCTGACCAGGCAGTGCAGCCTGGCATAATTGCTTGCACGGCCCGCTGGCATCTCAACCGTTAGGGTCCTGTTTGTGCCACATGATGGTTCTGCTCGGGTCAGACGGTGTCAAAAGGGGCAGTGTCAGGCTGCAGCCAGGAGGGGGGACGACGGACGATGGGCTCCGTGGCAGGATGGAATGACGTTTCACATTCGAATATCCTCGAGCATCAATCTCAGGGACTGGAAAGCGCGTCAGAGGCAACATTGGGGGGGGATAGGCTCAGGGGGGGGCGCATCGACCCCCTATCGCCTATAATCGCCAACCAGAGCCCGATAGCCCGCCCTGCCCAGACACGTGCGGCTTCGCGATCGAAGGCCTGTCGCCGATATATCGATGTATCGCCGATTCCGGGTCGATGCTTCCCCCTGCCGTTGATTTTCGGGTCTTGCCTCGGGTCGGAGAGCTCTTCTGAACGCCTTCTCTTCCTCCTCCTTTGCCGGCCCTCTTCTCCCCTCCCCCTGTGGTTCCAACAGTTTTACATAGCACACAGCGCCGCCAATCTGTCTCCGGAGAGGTATAGCACAGGCAGTCCATGGACTCGAGCCGAAGTCTGAAACAAAGAAAGAACTCGGGTCTCCGGCGACCGTTCGGGACGATCCCCGGCACCCCATGGCACGCTCTCCGTGAGGCGCAGCCCGCCAGAGAGCACCCCGAGGCTGGAATGCCGCCAACACGACAACCTACGAAAGCGCCAGAAACTGTCGGCAACGCCCGAAATGTGCCCCCCCCCCCCCCCTAAGCTGGTCGCCACCCTAACGTTGCCCCTCAGTGTGGCCGGACATCCACGGCCGGCGGGCGAAGACAGCGCGAGAGCGGGCAGCACTGCTGACGAGAGATGGGCCAAGCAGGACCGGCCAGCGGTGCTCAGGAAGCACCGCGAGTTCGACGATGAGCAAATTGCATGAGCATCACAAGGGGGGATGGGCCAGACGGTCTTACACCATTTCCGGATGCGTGGGCGAGGAGGGATTCCGTGGCCCAGGTTATGTTTGCTTGTGGCTTGTCGTTGTTGTCGTTGTTGTTGTCGTTGTTGTTGTTGTTGTTGTTGGTGTTGGTGTTGGTGTTGGTGTTGCTGTTGTTGTTGTTGTTGTTGTTGTTGTTGTTGTTGCTGTTGTTGTTGTTGTTGTTGTTGAATTCTCATTCTTGAAGAAAATTGTGGTTGATCCCCCCACCAGTGCACATTGTATTTTTTGAATTGAAGTGCCCCCCTCTGGGCTCGCACCCTGATTTTTATCAGGGAAAGCCTTCGTACTCGAACTGGGCCCGTGGCCCCCCCAGCTACAACAGCAATGGTATCCGCTTGATACTTTCTTACAAATTATTCCGAAATCGCGCTCTCCCGCTTCCCCATAGTGTATGCAGGAATCACGCTCTCGCGTGGGACATCCTGGCAATTTACTCAGACGCCGCGCAATTGACGCTCAGGAATCGCGCTTCTCGCTTTGGCTTTGCTCACAATTTCTTCAGAATTGCGGTATTGCTCGAGACGTCCTTACGATTCATGCAGGAGTCACGCTTCAGCAACCCGCCTGCTCGACCTGGCCGCCTGGGCCTGCCTTCCGGACCCGCCCGCCTGGGCCTGCTCGCCCGATCTGCCCGTCTAGTTTTGCCACGTGCTTTCTGCTCACAGCCCCCCTCCTGCTACTTTCTCTCGTGCTCCATCCTTCTGCATCCCCCTTCCATCCGTCCGCTCTTCCTCTGCTTAGGGGCTGCGCAGAAATCACGTGGCATGTCGGGAAGATGTATCCCTCAACGGGTTACGATCGAAGACAAAGAGGGCGGGAACCGAGGGTTTGGGATATACATGTTGAATGGCACGCCAGCAGATAGGAGCGAACAGTCTCAAAATGATTGAGGTTGAATCTTCATTTCTGAATATTAATTGTTGACCCCCCACCAGTGCACATTGCGATGTTTCAATTGAAGTGCCCCCCTCTGGGTTCGTACGGTTTTTTGTTACGAGGGGAATTCTTCTTACTCGTACTGAAATGTTGGTTCCCGGACTTCAACAACAACAACAACTATCATGTTGGATTTGTTCGTTCTTGTCTGCTCGCGGGCAAATTAACATATACATATATATATATATATATATACACAAAACCCTCGGTACCCGTCCTCGTCGTCTTCGATCGCACCCCCTCTGGGGTTTTATTTGTTTTAGCTGCAATGCGTATGTCGTGCAGCCCCTAAGGCAGAGGAAGACAGGAAGGATTGAAGGGACAAGGGGGAGGGAGGATGGAGCACGGGAGAGCCTAGCAGGAGGGGGGCTAGGAGCAGAAAGCACGTGGCAGAACCAGACGGGCAGATCGGGCGCGCAGACCCTAACAAGCGGGTTGGGAAGGTTGGCCCAGGTGGCCAAGTCGAGCACACGGGTTGTTGAAGCGTGCGTCCTGCATGAGTTGCGTAGACTCGAGCGATAGCGCGATTCCCACATACATTTTCCGGAAATCCACAGCGCGAGCGTGATTCCTGAGGGTCGAGGGCGCGGCGTCTGAATACATGACCAGGACGTCCCACGCGAGAGCGAGATTGCTGAATAAGTCACCAGGACGTCCTGCGCGAAAGCGCGCGGGATTGAATTTTGAGGAAGTATCAGGCGGGAGCCATTGTTGTTTTTATGGGCCAACAGGTCAGTCTGGTCACGTTTCACTTTTCCTTGTAACCGGGTGCGAGCCCTGGGAGAAGCACCTTAATTGAACAAACAATGGTCACTAGAAGGGGGGATCAGCCATATTCGTTGTTTAGAAGGCGAATTCAACAACGACGACTCACGCCACGCCCTCATAGTGTATTCCAAAATCGCGCTCTCGCACAGGACGTCCTCACAATTTCTTCAGGAATCGCGCTCTCGCGTGGGACTTCCTCGCCATTTACTCAGACGCCGCGCCCTCGACTCTCAGGAATCACGCTCTCGCTTTGGCTTTGCCCATGATTTACTCGGGAATCGCGCTATTGCTCGAGGTTTCTTTGCGATTCATGAACGACTCATGCTTAAGCAACCCGTCTGCTCGACCTGGCCGCTTGGGTCTGCCTTCCCGATCCGCCCGCTAAGGTCCGCCCGCCCGACCAGCCCGTCTGGTTTTGCCTCGTGGTTTTTTCTCCTAGCCCCCCTCGTGCTAGTTTCTCTTGTGTTCCATCCTTCTCCCTTTCCTTTCCATCCGTTCCCTCCTCCCCTGTTTGATGGGCTGCCCTAAGTGCACGTGGCAGCTCAGGCAGATTTACCCCCAAGGGGGTACGATCGAAGACGAAAAGAGGGAAACTGGTGGTTTGGGATATACGTCGTGTGGCACGCGAACAGATAGGAGCGAACAGTCTCAAAGTGACTTATTGGCTGACGCGCATCGCGACCCATTGGCGGCAGTAAGAGTGAAAAACGGAGTTTGCGGAACGCGTGCGATTTCTGGGGAATCTTGGGGTTGCAGCTTCTTGGGATTTCGTCGGGGGCGGTTGGCGGATCGCGGCCCTGCTATTGGGCTTCTCTGGGCTCTCCTGGCAGCACTTTTGATGCCTCTTGGGGGCCGTGTTGAGGCCTCTGGGGGCCTCTTTTGGGCCGGCGGCCTCTCGGTGGCCTCGTGGTGGCCTCTTGGCGTCTCCTGTGGTTTTTCGGGGCCGAGTGCTCGAAATGTCCATTCGGGTTCCCCCTCGGGGCCTCCTCTTGGGGTCGTCATGGGGCCTTCCTGGACCGTTTTGGAAGCTTCTGGGGCAGTCTTGAGGCCTTCTTGGTTCGTCTTGGAGCCCTCTTGGGGGCCTCTTGGGCTATGTTGGGTCGATCTTGAAAGCTTCTTGGGCCGTGGTGGGCCTCGTGAAATCTCAAGAGGCGAATGTGCTAACAATCTTATTATACGTTTTTCCCCTGGGGAATTGGACGATTTTTGCTTCTGGAGGGCCTCTTGGGACGCCTCTTGGTGGCTTGTCGGGGCGTTTCGGGGGCCTCAGGGCCGTTCTGGGGGCAATCTTGGGCGCCTTGGAGCGATCTTTCCGCGATTCGTAGCCCTCTTGGACCGTCCGGGGGGCCTTTTGGGACCTCCTTGGCCCGCTTTGGGCCCCCCTGAGGCTCCAAGGGTGCGGCCGGCACCTTTGTCCCACACCCCCACCCCCCCTCAAAACCGGACGGACCGGGCTCCTGGGGGAGGGATTTGGGGAGGGGGGAGCATCTCACACGCCGTGACCCCATGGGGTCGGCGGATTGTTGTTGTTGGTGTTGGTGGTGTTATTGTTGTTGTTGTTGTTGGTGGTATTGTTGTTGCTGTTGTTGTAATATCACTGCTAAGGAAAAACATGTATTAGTGATCCCCTCTTTCCCGGTGACCGTTTTATTTTTCAACTGAAGTGCTCCGCCTGGGGCTCGCACCCTGTTTTACAAGGGAGGGAAAACTGTAGGGTCACCAAATTCGGCCCTTGGCCCCCAAACTACAAAAACGGCTCCCGCCCCTGATATGTCCGCACAATGTACATGAAAATCGCGCTCTCGCACGGGACTTCCTCACAAGTTTGGCAGGAATCGCGCTCTCGCCTAGGACTTTTTCGCAATATATTCAATCGCCGCGCACTCGACTCTCAGAAATCACGCTCTCGTGTTGGCTGTTTCTTACGATTCAGTATGGAATCGCGCTATCGTTAGAGACCTCATCGCCATCCATGCAAAATTTGCGCTTCAGCGACCCGCCTTATCGACCTGGCCGCCTGGGCCCGCCTTCCCGACTCGCC